CCAATTCTCCAATGTCCTGTTATTCGTCCACGGTCTGGGTCAGGCCCTGCCAGCTGGTATGCATTGGGGCATCCTGACCCCTGGTCAGCATTGTGTAAATATCGATGTGTCCTGAAATTTTCTTTGGAGACTTTGGGTCACTGTCTGCATCTGGGGTTCCCTGTCTGATATTATACGTATTTTAGTTCACATTTTAAATGCCATATTCTGTAGATCTCTGGAAGCATTAAGAGTTTTGTTAAGGTAAATCTGGATAGACATCTTTGCGTTTAGTTATTTGTTTTAAGCTTTTCCTTTGAAAATATATGCAGGGGACTGAGTAAGGATTATCCCTGTTGCAAAAATGTTTTTGTACTTAATATGACTACAATGATATTAGTGTAGAATCTGTCTAGAGAACTGGATTTAAACTAAAAGGGTATGGAGGGATATTTTATTCAGAGCCCTGTACTCTGACCTTAACTGGTTTTACATTAGCAAACAGGCATGACATTTAAAGAGACAGAGTACCTTAAAACTCTCAGTGACAATAATGTAGATCTGCTGAAGTTGGGACAAACAGGCAGGATCTTTGCGTGTGATGTGTGCCCTTTGGGCCCTGGAAAGGCACAACATTCTGCAAACAAGTCATGTTTAACAGAACCAGTGAAAGTAGAAAACTGTCAGTCACCAAAATAAAAGGCAAAACAATTATGTCTGGCAGCAGAGTTTGTTGGCAGAAGCTGACTAGATTGTCTTTCTGTCTAGGTGGTGGGGATGGGGTAACTTACATAGTATAAATGTAAAATATCTTTTATCCTTTAAACTATTATCACCTGTGTGATTGTTAAGTTATTAAGTTTACATACCTTTATTAATGCCTTTATTAAAACAGAACACTCTTATTAACAGATTAGATTTTATTGCTCCTTAAAGAGGAAGGCACAAGTCAGAAATAGGAGTCTCTTGAACAAGTCAGAAATAGGAGTGTCTTGCACAAGTCAGGAATAGGAGTATCTTGAACAAGTCAGAAATAGGAGTATCTTGCTCTACTGACTGAGGTTACTCCCAGCCCCACACCTCTTTTGTCAGTGAGTAGCCACGCTTGAAGGGCTGGGAAAAGTGGGTACAAGTGATGTGGAAACGTTAAGCAGCCACATGTCTGATAGAGAACCTTCATAAAACTCAACAGTGACATGAACAAATGATCCAAGTAGAAAATGGGTAAATACATGAGCAGACATCTTATTAGTAAGGAAATACAGATTGTAACATCATATTAACCGGTTTAAACCTGTACCTTGACCATTCTGCTAGAGTTGGCTGCTGGCTGCACAAGGTGAGGCAAAGCCCAGAAAAACTGTGTCCAGGCACCAGGCAGAGATCTAGAGTGGACAAGGGTATCTGTGCCATGTTAGGCTGCATCCCAGTCAGGTCTGTACTGTCTGTACCTTCAAGGCAAGGCACACAGGAAAACAAACAAACAGCACTTAGACAAAAGAAAGGGGCCCATCTCAAAGACTTGTAAATTTCAGATTCAGTGGGGGAGGCAAACTCCCCAGTAGCTACTCAGATTCCGATGATGCATTAATTAGCCAAGTTTTTACCCAAATTTAGATTCCAAAGGCGGGATTCCCACCAAAACAAGAAACCAAAAGCTGAAACCTCTCTCAGCTCCTCCATATCTGAACTTACAGCAAGTCTGCCAAGGTCTTCTTGCTCTGTTTCTTACAGTTTCAGATTGTTGCCCAGCGAAACATAAGCAGAAACATAAAAATCACAAAATTGTAAAATCACACACCTGCCACAGAACTCAGGACACAGAACTTTCCAGGCCAGCACAATGACTAACACAGAAACAAACAAACAAACAGAATATTTACCTGTCTGGTCAGAGACTTAAACCGTTAGGGGTCTGGAGTCCTGGGCTTCCTGGAAGAGCCGCCAAATGTTGTGCACAAATTGCAAAGGACCCACACACCACCAGGAAGACACACCAACTAAACTGCAAAAGCAAGGTTTAATGATTGTTCACCTACACATGACAGGGACCCTATCTGAATAGCTGTCCCAGCAGCCTCCAGATGGAATGAAGTTCCCTGTCTACTGCTAGGGTTTACAGACAAAAGTAACAGGATTACATCAGTAGCTACAAGTTGGTTTCTGACTGGTTGACATTTGGAAACAACTAGGAGAATTTCTCAAAGTCATTATTGGCATGAAATGCCTGTGTACTAATTATTTTCTTTGGTCAGTGCTGAGAGGGAACATTCTGTGATTTCTGTGGCATTCTCTTGTTACTTGCAGGTGGCCTGTTGTACATATACATCAATAGATTTCAGAACCATATCCTGAAAACTGTAGGGATGGTTTTGATCCCCCTTGGAGCTTATTTTGTGACCAAACAGTTCCCAGGATCAAGCATCTGCAAGGCTGGAGGCAGGCATCTGGAGTTTCTTTATTTTCAGTTTTGGCCCTAGACTACAGAAGGCCAGAGGTTCTAGAGTTTCCTTGTATCAGAGGCCTAAGTGTCTTTTCTGTAGCCTGTCATGGCTACCAAAGCAGAGATTTGAGTGAGGTTCTGGGCCTTTATTTCTAAATTATTATGATGAAATCCTTGAGTTTAGTTTACCCCTTTCAAGGGCTGTGTCTGTAAATTTGAGGAGAGCCAATCTATAAAGCAACTCCCAGGACAACCAGGTCTCCTACAATGAAGCACCCTTTCTCTCAAAACCAACTCCAAACCAGCCAAATAAAGAAAAAGGACAAAGTAATACTGTATGGAATACTACTAGGTTTCTCTTTTAGGTCAGGTTTGGATATTTGTACTAGTGGAAAATTACTAGTGGTTCATAAGTTTCCAGTCCCAGGTGAAACTTCAGAAATGTTAAGACATTGTAGTCAGAGGATATTGTTTTAATTACAAATTTCTGCTGAAATTATAACTTTTACTTCTTACCATCTTTTCTAAGGAAAGCGTTTAATCTTTGTGCTGGTCTCTATTGGTGTTGGGGTTCGTTGTGACTGTTTCATTTTACTCCTTTGTGATTAGTTTCTTTCCTTTTCCTTTGGTGTGAGTTCATCTAGTTTCCTGAGTTTAGAGACTAAACCTTTCTTAAGTGTCAATGTTGGCCATAAACTCAAAGTGGAGCCAAGAATGACCTTGAACTCCTGATCTTTCAGCCACCGTCTCTAAAGTCCTAATTTCACAAAAATTCAATCTCTCTCTCTGTGTCTCTTTGTCTCTGTCTATGTCTCAGTCTCTGTTTCTATCTCTGTGTGTGTGTGTGTGTGTATATGTGTGTGTGTGTGTGTGTGTGTGTGTGTGTGTCTCTTTTTTTTGTTTGTTCAAGACAGGGTTTCTCTGTACTGGAACTCACTCTGTAGAACACACTGGCCTATTACTCACAGAGATTCCCGAGACTCTGCCTCCTAATTGCTGGGATTAAAGACCTGTGCCCTCACCTACCTGATCAGATTCCCTTGCCAAAATGGTCCTACAAAAATTGCAGAGGCTTAGATTTAGTTCTCATGGGATAAGGTGATTGTGTGAGACTTTGGGAGAAACCCTTTGTTTCTGTGTTAATCCATAAGGAATTGTTTGGAAAACAAAACAAATACCTCATAAAGAAAATGAGACAAAGACATAAATCAGATAATTGACAGCAATCTCTGTTCTCCTGGTCCCTTTGCTAACGACTCTTCCGTTGGCACTGATTGGTCTCTTCTTCTACTTCCTGGGAAAATACTATTGAATTCATCTCCCTCACCCATCCTGAACCATGCCATCAGGGACAGGCAGCAAAACAGGTGAAACTTAGAGATGAGTCCAGCTCAGAGTCTCAGCACCACTCAGTAGTGTCTCCAGTGATGCTTGAGCTGATCCACAGAACCCCCCAAGGGTAGAGGGACCATGGGTAGAAGGGCCAGGGAGGGTGTGGATCCAGGGAAGCAGGAGTGTCTGGCACCGAGTCTGAGGTAGCAACTTATTGGAGAATTCCAATCCTGGGGAGATACAAGATTCTCCCCTCCTGTCTAGCACCCCACATGCAAACAAACCAAAGGAACACACCACACTTCTATTAGGAGAAATGATATCTTTATTGGGCCTGCTTACAGAGCATGGGTGAGGGCCAGCTAACAGCAGAGCACCATGTCACAATAGCATGGACAACAGACAATTCATAGCTCCATGGATGGGGCCCCACCCTCTTCTGTTAACTTCCCACACTGTAGCCTCTCTAGCATCAATGAGGCCAGAAGACCATTGGGACAGAACGACAAGAAAAGCCTGGAAAATACAGTGGGGAGCAGCCTGCATCTGTCTTTCCTCCTTCCTTCTTCTAGACCAGAGAGTACAGTCAGTGCATTCATCTGGGGCTCACTGGCAGGTCCTTCCAGATGTTCTGAAGAAAGTCCCAGATGGAGTTGGTCCCTGGCACATGCATACATGTTCCATAATATGCAGAGTGCCGCTGGAACTGTTTTCTTTCCCTGTGGGATCCAACTTGCACGGGGTACAATTCATCAGTACTTGAGGGCTCACTTGTCAGAGCCAGAGAATGCATGGGCCTCCTCAGAACTGTGTCATTTCCTTTCATGGAGTGTGGTTCCGATCCAGAAATGGTGCATGCAGGTTGCTCTAGGAGAGGTATCCTTTGACTCATGGGTCCCCAACCTGGAAGCCCAATCTGTTGCAGTCTCCTGTGAGGACATCTGTGGGCGCTTCCCATCACAGCAGTGTGTGGCCTACCTGTACAGCCACAGGAAGACTCCATCCAGGGGAAACATCCCCCAAACTATCTATATAACCTACCAAAGACTGAACTTTGGCAACACAGTCACAGGAGGCATCCATTCTCTTCATGCAATCACACAGGACACGAAATATCCAACACTTGCATCGATTCTGAGGGAGAACCACTCACAAATTAAAAGGTGACTCAAATCCCAGATCAAAGGTCATTTGTCCACATATTCGACACCTGTTGGTTCAGAAGACCAGGAATGTCCACTGGTGGCTAAAAGGTCTCAGGGGCAGGAGGTGAACATGTGTCTGCTTTGTTCAGGTCCATCTCCATGAGTGGCAGGGAGACTTTGGGGGTCGCAGTCAATAATCTACAGTCTTGTGAATTCTGTGAATGGTCCATGGCTTCGGCATCAGCAGTATCCTGGAGAATCGTGGAGGCCTCAGCCGCTTGGGTGAAGAATCTCCTCACTGGCAGTGTGAATTCAGGGTCCAGGTGCTTGGATGTTGAAAGCCTCGGGGACTCAGAGCTCACCCTAGCATAAGGGCAGCTGTTGCGGGCTCTGCCTACACGATGTCTGGGGCATCCGGGGTGGGGATGCTTCTGGGTCAAAGCAGATGTCCCCTGAACCAGAGTGTAGGACCCAAAGGTCAATTCTTGCTTGGAGCTTGACTTTACCTCCAGGAACTCCATAGCTCCATGACCCCCCTCGTGCTTCCTCTCTTCATGACGTTCAGGCTGCAGGATCCGCACAAAGGCGTCCATGGGGAAGCTCACCCTGGCCTCCCCACAGCTACACTGAGTAGCCGCCTTTCCGTAGTCGATCCACCTCGGGGTGGCGAAATTGATGGCCTCTGCACAGTTGAAGCCATGGTTGAAGCCAGCGTGGTAGCCATAGGGAAAAGTGACCATGAATTCCCCAGCCTCCTGCGTCATGCGGCCAAAGGGGATGCCGTTCTCCTTGAGCACGCTGGGAGAGATGAGTGCCACCTTGTGCCTCAGGAAAGCCTGGCAGCCCTGGGAGCTGCCCGGGAACAACTGTCTGGCCAGATGCTCCAGGCGCCTGCCATGCTCAGGGGGCACCGCGTACCACGTCTTGGGCTGCCCAAAGTGCAGATAGTTGATGCTGTACAGATCCATGTCCTCCGTGTGCCACGCGAAGGTGGTCTTCCACATGCCAAAGTACAGGTAGGGCGTGTTGACGCCCTCAATCACGATGCCACATTCCTGCTTCAAGAGGTCCAAAATGCTTCCCAGGTGCGCCAAGTTCCAATGCTCAGTGTTCTCATCAAAGAGGGAGCCGTTTACGTCAGCACCATAAATTGGCGACCCGAAGAGGCGATTCTTCCAGTATTTTCTCTCCAGATCTTCAAAGTTCAAGTGTGGCGGGGTCCGGTATTTTTGGCTGTTGGCCAGGTCACGGTACTGCCCCACTGTCATGGCTTTCTTCTTCCTGTGGAATTGAGTGAACACCCCTGCCTTGCCAGACACCACTTGGTGCAGGGGCGTGGCTATAGAGATGTCACTGAGATCCTCATAGGACTGCCTGGCTCTCCACTCCTTGGGTGGGATGACCTTGGCCAGGCCAGCTCGGTGTGCCCCCTGGGATTCCATGTAGGCAATGTACTTGCTGAAGTCTGAAAATTCTTCCATGGTTGGGCGGAAGGTCATGATGGTTCCCGTAGAGCTCTGGGGGCTGCAGTTCTCCGACGTCATGGTTTCTGTAGGTGAGACCTTGGGCTGTTCAGGAGGGATCTGTCTGTCAGTCTGTCTGTTTTCTTATTTTCCCCCTGCCTTCCTGTAGTGTTTTCTTCACTCTCTCTGGTCCTTAAGCACTCACTTTTCTTCCTTCTTCTTCTTTTTCAGTTCTTCTGTTGCCTGTTTGTCAGGGTTCCACTACAAATATTAAATGACATTCAGGAGAATCAAAAGTCTGAGCAGATGCTGATCTATGTAACAAGACCTTCTCCTCTCCACTCTTGAAGGTAAGAGAAGAGAAAGCCTTCCTGGCTTGGTTACTCAGGAACTGGTTCCCTAGTGGCTTTCCTCACCCTGAAGAAAGAGTCTCTACTGAGCACAAGAGCAGCACAGGCCCAGCTCAGCCATCTGCCCTGAGTAGGGAGGGGCTCCTTCCACAGTTGTCACCTAGAGGTCTCTTCTGATGACCTGGAAGGCAGGGGCAACTGAAGTCTCTTCAGGAGGATTAACCCCAGACCTAAAGAAGATAAGGAATAGCAGAGAATAAGTCAGCAGAAGAAATATTGTGGTAAACCCAATTCAAGTTGAAATCAAAAGACTGGTTAAGAGACACAAATATTTTAAGCTCATGTAGAGAACACTGAATATTACAGTGAGGGAGCCATGCTGACACTCAGCTTCACCCCAGGATTGCGAGTTGGTAGCCAGAAAATTAGGGATTCAAGGTTGTTCTTGGATCCTGAGGGTACCCAAGGCTGCCATGGATATAGGGAAATAAAATGTATAGTCATCTGATCCAAGAAACTTCATGAATTAAAATCTAAGAACACAATGCAAATGAAAAAGGTGATTTCAGCCAAACAATGGTGGCACACACCTTTAATCCCAGCAGTCAGGATGCAGAGACAGGAGGATCTCTGTGAGTTAAGACTAAGCCTGTTTAACAGATTGAGTTCTGGAAAGACTCCAAAGGTAGAGAGAAGCACTTTCTCAAAGAACCAAGGGGGAGGGGAGACAGAAGTAAACAGAAAACTTCAGCTGGGTGGTGGTTTCAGTGGGCCACGCCTTTAATCCCAGTACTCAGGTGGCAGAGGCAGGCAGATGTCTGTGAGGTAAGACCAAGCCTGGTCTACAGATATAAATGTAGGACAGGTTCCAAAGCTACAGAAAAGCACTGTCTCAAATAACCATCGGGGCGGGGAGGGTAGAAAGCCGAAAGATTTCAAAAGCAACTCTGATAACAGAGAACCTAATCTCACTAGGGGTGAGCAGAGAGGAAACCTGACTTCTCTAACCATCAGCCCAACTGACTCCATGACTGAAGTGTCACTCAGGCCATAAAACTCAGCAGGCAGACAGTATGACCTGCCCAAACTAAAACAAAGGCCTGAGCCATCCCTGTCCACAGTTCTGGGACAGTCTCAAAATATGCCAGCCTTGCATTTGGACTTCTGTAGTTCTGCTTGGGGCTAGCTCTTCTTGCTAACTGAGGTATGCCAAGGCCGACAATGTTTCCTGAATTCTACAGGTCACAGGGAGGAAGGCTTCAATCTACACTTGGATCCCCACACCCAGTGTCATGGATGCCAGACTAATATACACTTTCTGTGGATAAGGCAATGTCCAGCTTCTTCTCAGGTGGCTGCTCCATAACACTTCTGGAGGCCTCTGGAGACCCTCAGTCACCACACCTCAAGGCACCAGAGGTATCAGAGCCCCTCAGAGTGAGAAAGAATGCGGTGGTCATGGAGGTCTTCTGGTGTGCAGCTGAAAGATCCCTGGTCCCCTGGTTTCCCTTTCTTAAATCTCTGCCTAACAATTGGCGAATTCTGACACAATCCACCCAGAGAAGAAAACAATCTAGCCTCCACCCCAATAGATACTCAATAGAAAAATGTAATTCAATTGACAATGTTTTAATTTAAAAATCTGGAAATACATTAAGAAAGATTCTGGCCTTGAGAAATGGGGAACACTAGGGGAATCAGACTCTATGTCACAGGGAAGGACCCAGGGGACACAGTTAATCGTTCCCACCCTGAAATAGACTAACTATGCTTTGACCCCCTCCAGCCCCCCTACTACATAGGGTAAGTCCTACCTGGACTGTCACCTCTTGACTGACAAAACTCATGGTTACCAGGGACAGCCAAGATGAATTTGCCCACAGTAATCAGACCTAAATGCAATCTATTGGAGGAGAGAACACAAATGATTCACAGACATTACTATCACACTGAAGCTCCCAGTTGGCCAACCATTCCAAATGCCTGGGAGAGTGATGGAATCTTGTGAACCCTTGAATCTTCCAGGACAGCGAGGGCTGTTACACAGTTACACCCTGTCTCTCAATACCAACACCAAACAAACCAGACAAACAAAACTAAAAAGGAAACAAAATAAAAAAGACAAAGTAATCCTATATGGACAAACATCCAAAAGTTGTTGAAGAGACACGCAGATGACTTACCCTACAGCAACGGACCGGAGGCCTGGCTGAAGACAGTGCGGCACCGAGGGCAGCTCTCTTCTGTGGGACTTTCATTCCCTATGAAGCTGGAGCCTGAGAGCTCCCTCCTTTATCCTGTAACCACCACTTGCCCACCCACTGTAGCGTCCCGCCCATCACTGGCCACACCCTCCCTTAGCCCCGCCCAGCTTCCTTTGAAGACAAACCAACCCAAAGTGAGAAAGGTAAACTAGGAATACACAAAAGAAAGGCAGTAATAAGAGTAAGGTCATGTCATCTGTTTGTTCGTATAGCCAGTGAAAACATTCTACAATTTCTCAGAGTGAACTGAGAACACGAGACAGAGCTTCTCTACAGTGAGACACAGACACAAGCTCACACAGGTCTGGGGTCTTGACAGACAAGCTTCGTTTGTGCTTAAAACACCACCACTAGCCGGGCGTTGGTGGCACACGCCTTTAATCCCAGCACTCGGGAGGCAGAGGCAGGCGGATCTCTGTGAGTTCGAGGCCAGGCTGGACCGACAGTCTCCAAAACAGAGAAACCTTGTCTCTCAAATCCATCACCAAACAAACCAAACAAAGAAACCAAATAATAGAAAAGACAAAGCAATCCTATATGGAAGGCTAATTGGCTTCTCTTCTAGGACAGGCTTGGATATTTGTACTTATGGAAAATTCCAAGTGATTCATAAGATTCAAGTCCCACCTGAAACTATAGAAATGTTAAGACATTGTAGCCCCTAGATGTTGATTTAATTACATGTTCCTTTCACTCCTTAGGGTCTTTTCAAAGGAAAGGGTTTCATCTCTGTGCTGTCCCTATTGGTGTTTGGAATCTTTTGTGACTGTTTTGTTTTAATCCTAAGTGATTTCTTTCCTTTTCCTTTGGTGTGAGTTCACCTGCTTACCTGAGTTCAATGACTAAACATTTCTTAAGTGTCAATGTTGACCATAAACTCAAAGTGGAGCCAAGAATGACCTTGAACTCCTGATCTTCCAGCCACCACCTCCCAAGTTCCAATTTACCAAAATTCAAACTATTTTCTTTCCCTTTTCATTTTTCTTTCTTTCTTTCTTTTTTCTTGCTTTTCTTTTTTTTTTTTGATATTTCAGGACAGGGTTTGTACTGGAAGTCACCCTGTAGAGCAGACTAGCCTAGTACTCAACAGAGATTCACTTGCTTCTGCTTCCTATGTGCTGGTATTAAAGGCGTGTGCCACAACCGCCCTGGTAAGATTCAATTACATAAAGTATGCTTTCCTCACCTGGGGTTCAAATGTCCATTTCTTTTGACCTGTGCTTTGCTTGAATTGGCTTTTAATTCTGTTATTAACATTGCCAGCCCAATCTTATTTAGCTCAATTTCATCTCGTTATTCCCACTGGAGTGAATCATTCAGAAATCACTATTTTTCATATATTTTCATAGGGCTTCATCCAGGAACTTTTCTGAAGATACTCTGCCAATGTAGCAAAGTCTGAAGCATCTCATGCTCTCAGGAAACCACTGGTCAGGCTGGCTGGTCATGCTCAGACTCCATAGGAATGACAACCAACAGACTGTCACCCCTTAGGGTGACAAATCTCCTTATGACTGGGGATAGTCCAAATTAATGCTAGAGAATTTCAAGGCACTGGAACTTCTCTACTACCTAAAATCGCTAATCTTGGCACTTCCCCCTTATTAGTAGGTGTCTGCTGATATGTTTGGGGCATTAGATCATGTGGAGAATGTCAATATTTCAGGACTCTGAGAACACTTGGTGGGCAGGTACAAGGGTTGACTAAACTGTGTCTCTTCTGATGCTTTCCAGACTAAGCATTGAGGTGACCAGTGTCAAGAGGTTTCAGCAGTTTCTGCTTCTGAATTGAAAAAACAGTAAGATTCCCTTGCCAAAATGGTCCTACAAAAATTGCAGAAGCTTAGACTTACTTCTCATAGGATAAGGTGACTGTGTGGCTTTGGGAGAAACCCGATGTTTCTGTGCTCATCCATCAGGAATTGTTTGGAAAACAAAACAAAACCTCAAAAAGAAAATGAGACGAAGACATAAATCCCAAATTGACAGCAGTCTTTGTTCTCCTGGACTGCTGTCTCTCTACTATGACATTGGCACTCGACGGCACTCTAATTCTCATTTTGAATGAATTAATGTGGGGACACTACCTCCATACTGTATGGGAAATCATGTGCCAGTTTAGCATAATTAATGGGACTCAGGCCCAACTACACCTCTTCAGACAACAGTGAGTCCACAGACTTCATTCACTCACTAATTCTAGTGGGGAATGATAGGCCCCCAGACCGTAGCACATCTGACTCTATGATGGACGTAACAGTCATGCTATAAAACTCAGTGTGTAGCTAGTGCCACCAATCAAGATGAAAACAAAGACCTAATCCATCCCTGTTTGTAGTTCTGGGACAGTCTCTAAATACACTAACCTTGCCTTTTGTCTTTAGTAGCATGTGCGGCTAACTGTTCATGTTAACTGAAGTATATCAAATCATAACATGGCTTTTTTTGCTTAAAGGCTCACCTAAGAAAGACTGGTGACTGTCCTGGGATTCTGAACATCCTAGTCACCATCCAGCCAATAAA